GAACAATGTTGGTTTACTATCAAACGGGTTAGGATTTTAGGAAGCACTTTCTTTTGTGCTTCTTTTATGATATTTCTCTAAATCATCAACATTGTTTTAGGGGGAAGGGGGCGGAAGTAGCAATTTTTTTTCATGAAAGGAATGAAAGATATGAAATGCAGCGTAAATTGGTGGGTGTTCCAAGTACTTTTGGCAGGCATTGTAACATCATCTCATTGGATTTACTTTGGCTGTTGAAATTAGTGATAAAAAGGTAGATGAGGTGAAGAGTGTAGAAATTTGCCTCCTTATACACACTTCCTGCTGATAGCCTTGCTCCAATAATTTATGATAAATAATGCAATCATTTATAATTAATGATTTATGGTAATCGACAGATAGTGAAAAGGCTTAAGCCATCTTTCAATCAAAATTTGACCAATCAGTGAGCATGACTCCACTAACACGCTCATTGATTGGCTAATATTGAATGACAGATGGCTTAAGCCGCTTTTACATCTGCCGATTGCCATTAAAGTTAGTATTGGTCTGTTCTCTAAGAACAAGATTTTGATCGCAATGTTTCAAATACAATCTGTTGAAATTTTCCATAATTTTTGGAAGATCATCTAATAATGATTATTTATCCATTAAAAAAGATAGTTAATGTAAGATTATATAAGAGAAAAAAGTTTGAGTTTACAAAAGACATGTACTCGAGGATAACAAAAATTTACGTTCTGGAAAGTCTTAAGAAGATATGTACCGGCAAATTCTAAAAAGATACATAATTGATATTCATAAAAAGAAACAAACCGGGAGATCAAGCTTTTCTAGATCATCACAACACTCAATACATTCGACAGCCTCGAGTTCGCAGTTTGCCATTTTGATCAGCCTCAGTCTGGAAAACCTCTGAGCACCCTTCATGCGTATCTTTCCCAACCCACTGGCGGTTATACATTCACACTGCAAAGATGAATCGAAGTTTTGTTGATCGATCAAGAAAAAAATGACTAAAGTTTGCTTTTATTGCTATTGCTTATTGTGAACCAATAAAGAAATCAATCAAGTGACTAATAATTACACAGTTATCAGCTTTAAATAAAGAAAGCTTTGCTTATTTGACTTTATCAAAAATTAGAAAAATGAGGACATTCTTAAGCCTCAAATTCAATTGGTACTGAAAGTTGCAAAAGAATCGAAACAATTTCATAAGCTAAATCGTGTTCAAAATCTGTTTTATTATAGATATATGAAGAAATGGTATAAAATTAAAGGAATCAAGCTGTTTAAGTATAATGCTGCAAATAAACGACAAAGAACTTACAGAGCTTGGAGTTACTCCTTCTGGTAGTCCACTCAATACATCATCAACGTCAAGTTCTGGAAAAGTCTCCAAAGACCTTTTAGGCCTACACAAAAAGGAAAGTTTCGAGAGATTTAGAAATACTCGACCAGACTCACATTAACTTACACAAACCTGCTAGTTTGCCTTATGATAACTAGAAATGAAAAGCTAAATTTCGAGCTGCAAAAACCAAGAAAGGACTTTTATTGCGATTTCAGGCAAGTTTTATTTGCCTATTATTTAAAGGATTCAAAGCATATAACCTTTTCAACTTATAGATACTTTTGACAGAGCATCGATTTTCAAAATGAATTTTCATAGCCCTAGGAAGCCTTTTCAGCTGACAGGAATCTCAACTATCTCGAAAAGAAAAAACTTTAAGTGCATTTTAAAGATATTTAGTTAGGGTTTAGATAGACAATGACAAAGTTATTTAAGACGTGTTTTGAGTACTTGGTTCAACTGAAACTCCATCACAACACCTTCCTAAATTTCATTATCCTATGTTTCTGTCATGGCCCTCTTGTTGCTGGTTAGTATGGTATATTAGTTCGCTGAAAATGTAACTATTTCAGTATTAAAGATCAACGCATGATAAGTTTTGTATTTACTTAGTTACATATAATTCACGTTTAGTTTGTTTCCAAGAGTCAAGTAGCTGCATTATATGAACAAAATGGAACTGCATTGTTTTTCTCGCTTGGTTGTCTAGCATTATCAGTATTTATGCTCCCTCTTGAAGAGTTTCAAACTCGTTATTTTGAGCAATAAGAATACGGATGTATTTTTTCTTCAAGGAATGAAATGCTGCTCAGCCAGAACAGTTACGTATGGTACAAGGCAGCAACGAAAACGTTGCAATGAAGATAGGGCTGAGTTTTATCTAAGCGAGAACTCTGTTTGTTGGGCTGAGGTTCTTTTTTATTACCTTGAAATCCTTGACTTTGGTTTCTTTGCTTCCTGCCGGCTATTGGATTCTGACCGTGACCTACAAAACACAAAACAAAGTTTGCATTGAACCTCTATTAACTTGAAAAGAGGGGACATTAAGTAGCTGTATTTATTTCTAAAAGAACAACTGATTGTCTTGCATAGGAATAACTTGCTGGGAACCAAAAGAAGTACTTTCTTTAGGGCGAAGCTTCTGAAGAGTCTGGTTTCTTGTATCTCCTTATAAAATAAGGGGTATTGGTGAAGAGACAGCTGAAAACAATGAATATATCAATATTTTTATACCAAATACTTTTTGGGTTTTAATTTATACTTTGGTTGGCTATTAAGTAAAATTCACTGTAATTAAGTAATGATATAAATTAGCTCTTCGTCGACTAAAGACAATTTTCACTGATAATCAAGCGGATATTGCAACACGGCTCAATACCTCATTTCCATATACTGCTTCAACCATTGTTGCCTCATTTCCTCATGTTTATCTGAAAGCAAGGTACTACACGACCTAGAATTCTTTGAATCACCTTCTTCGCCAGTTTTTTGTTCCAAAGGCTTTTCCTTTGACTTTTCCTCTTGTATCTTTTTTTCTTTCTCAAATTTGGTCTGTTCAACCATCTCCTTCTCCAGTTTCAGTTTTTCCTCCCTCTCCTTTTCTAATCTCAATGTTTCCAATTTCTCCTTTCTTAACCTTTCTTTTCCTTCCCTTTCCTTCTCTAATCTTATTTTTTCAGCCTCTTCAAGTTTCTGTTTTTCCACTCTGTCCCTTTCTATTGTCTCTTTCTCTAACCTTTCTTTTTCTCTCTCTTCCTTTTCTTTCTCTAATCTCATCTGCTCAGCCTTCTTCTTTTCCAGCTTCAGTTTCGTCTCCCTCTCTTCTTCTAATTTCAATTTTTCCATCTTCTCTTGTTCAAATCTTTCTTTTTCTCTCTCTTCCTTTTCTTTCTCTAATCTCATCTGTTCAGACTTCTCCTTCTCACGCTTCAGCTTTTCCTCCCTCTCCTTTTCTAGTCTCAATTTTTCCAATCTCTCTTTTTCCAACCTGTCCCTCTCGTTCTTTTCCTTCTCTAACCTTATTTTCTCAGCCATCTCCAGTTTCACTCTCTCGTCCCTCTCTTTTTCTAGTCTCTCCTTTTCTCTTTGCGTCCTTTCCTTTTCTTCATTTCGCTTTATTTCTTCCTCTCTCCTTCTCATCTCTTCTTCTGCTGCAATCTGTTCTAATTTTTCCTGCTGTAGCCTTCGACGAGCCTCTTTGAGTCCCGTAAGCTGTGGTCCGTACATCTTTCTTGCCCTAAAAGAACAAGATACAGCTAAACTTAATTTCAAAGATGAAAAAGCTAGAGTTCGCTCCCCTGCTTGTGAAAAAAATAAGCAAAAACATACAGTTATATGTAAATTCTCATAACGGTTACAAACTCCACTTTCAGTGGCTATGTATGGATCAGGCAAGTCTTATACATACAATACTAGGAACTTGAAATTTCAACAGAGTAGATTTGAATATAGCTCTACGCGAGAGCGACCTTCAGCGCCAGACAGTGTATAGCACACTCATCAATTGAGCATAAAACCTTTTTAGCCAGGATAAAATAATTTTCTTACGAGAAATCTGCAAAATGCTGCCCGGATAGCATATAGAAAACCGCCAAGAAAGGGTAAAGGTTTGAAAATCATGTTAATAATTAATTTGAGGTCCTGAAATGTACAATTTGAAAATAATCACCACTAACCGGTAACCTCGATAATGCTTTTGAAGAGCCACTGTCGCATTCAATCTCTTTCTGGCACGCTCTTTTTCGATCTTCGCCTAGTATTGAGAATGACGTCATAATTACAACATGTAGCGTCTCGTTAGGAAATGATTACTGACACTGAGGTCGTATTTGTTGTTTAACTTCTATGAATATTAAAACCACAACTTTACAAAAGTTGCTTACTCTAAGGTCCTTAATAGAAGGGGGGACGCTTATTAATTTTTTGATTTTTTTCTGACCCCCCCCCACCCCCGCTTAAATAGAGATTTTCATTATTGCAAAAACCTGGAGTGGAAATTGTGCCTCTGTAGTTCTTATAGTGGATTGAAAATATCAAAATTTTAATACCAAGATCATAATACCAGGATCATAATTTTTGATGCATTTATCACCCATGTATAATAACCATTTTTAGAACCCTCAGGCTGAGATCTTGTAACGAGAACCCTTTCTTACAAGAAAACCAGTCAACCTGTGGATTGTAATAAATTTTTGTATCCACATCAATTAACTATTCTCAAAAAATTACACCATCAAATGGGATTTTATACATGTAGTTCAGTGGCGGATCCGGACTACCGCCATTACCGCTCGAGCGGTAGTCAGATTATTCAAAAAATTATAGAAACAAGGGTCATTTTCAGGTTTATCCTACTACTTTAATTAAACCATATTTAATTATTGAAAATATTTTAAAATATTCTTCCTAGGAACATGCCTGAAATTTCCACAGAGACAGAAATATTTTTCAATCCTTATCGCTATTGAAATTGCGTGCCAATTGCCGAGCCACATGTTTGCAAATAGAAGGCTAGCATGGAGGGATGATGAAATCATGCCTTGCTAGCTAGGGGGGTTGAGTCGGTGTAGAGCGAATTCGAGCTGCACTGAGCGGTAGTCAGCCTGCCTAAACCAATCAAATCGTCAGAAATCACTGCCAACCTGGGGGGATGCATACAAATTTTGTTTACAACCAATGAACAACCGAGTTGACTGCCGCTCAGATGGGGGGTTGAGTAGTACTGCCGCTCAACACGGCTCAAACGTTACAAAAAGATGGGGGGATGCCTACATATTCTGCAAGTGGGCAAACTGTAACTTCAAAGCCGATGTGACCCATTATTTTGTACAATACACAACTATTCGTAGAAATATATTTTAAAAGAATATTAAATTAAAAGTCAGGCCCACAATATTCGCCAAAAGTATGATTCTTTGTTTAACAAAAGTTGCTCTCAATAATTGCAAATTTTATCTAGCTTTTTAAACTTTTAATTTCCAACAGGTCTGATTTTCATAAGTAATTGTCCGACTAAATGCGAGTTTTAGGCGACACTTCAAAATTCTGCCAAATGTATCTTTTTTTCTAATTCTATGGTGCTCCTCGTCTAAATGCCGTAAATTTTTTTAGAATATCCATCCTCAGAATATTGAATAAGATTATTTATTTCTTCTCAAGCTTGTTGTAAGGATACATGAAATTTCAGTAAAGCACCACTTGTCTCTTGAAAATGGTCTACATAAAAATTATAGAAAGCAATAATCATTTGAGAAAACCGGGTGTGACCAAGAAATGGGTGTGGTCTAAAGGGTGTGGTCAACCCCCTATCTCATTTCGGCGGTAGTCAGATTTTTGGCTGGATCCGCCACTGTAGTTTCTTTCAACAAAACTCTTAACTGTTTTGATTGAATAATGTTTTAAAAATCGAAATCACTTTTTGGAACTATTGAACCTTCTGTCTGACCAATGCCAATTACCTATACGAGAATCATTTCAGGTAAATAAGCTAAAATTAGATCCTCCTTCACAGATATTGAGTCTTTCTCAAATATAGATTAGGATAACTGAGGAAAAAGCTTTCAAAAGCACAAACGAAAACTCTAGAGATTGGTAGGAAGGACTCTAAAGTTATCATCTTTTTTAACATACCTTGAAATTCAAAAATTCCTTTTCCTCTTTTTGCTTTTCGTTATCTATTTCTTTGATTCGCTCCTGTATAAAAAAAGATTCGGTTTGATGATTTAAGAAACGGTTATACAGATTATTTTGAAGCAAATGGAATGGAAAGGACTGTTATGTCTTGTGGTTGGAGCATACAGGAGTCAATGCTTGCTTGCTTAACAGTCCTCGACTATCCGACTCTTCACCACCCAAGCACAGACCGGGTTAAAAAACCGAATTATTCTAGAAAAAAGGCAATATTCTATCTCGTACACCTTGTGTGTAAATCCTGTTGTTGAACCTGAAAATCAATGGAAATCATTTTGTTTTTGTGAAAATCTCGAACGCTATTGGCAGGAGTGAATTGCCCCTGACATAAACCCCGGCGCATTCTCTATAGTTCTGTGCCAGACGGAACGTTTCAGTTTTTGACTACTCGGGAGTCGCTAGTAGTAAGTCTCTTGAAAGATATAGCACATATAACAGGCACCGCGGAGCAGGGAGGGATGGGGGCTTTAGCCCACCCACTTTTTGCAAAAAATGCAAAATATTAAGTATCAAACTCCTCCCACTTTTTTTAGACCTCCCACTTTTCTCAACGCTCCGCGGTGCCTGTATAAGTCAACTTTTGAACGCTTGGCAAGGCTATTAGCAATGAAAATCTAAGATTTGCAAGGCTTATAGCGGGCTAATCTTCCATTTTGAGAAGATTCGACTTCTGCCAATGTTTGCGATCAACTGCTACCTGCTGAGGGGTTGCTTAGCAATAAGCCGCAGCAGTGGCTTAATTGCTACAGCTCTCAGGTAGCTCGGGACAGTTGAGTTCAAGGGTGATGCAGCTAGAAGGGGACGTATTATGTTGATATATGATACATATTTTGGGAGAAACAAACAAAGATCGACATTCAGAATCCCATGTTTGAATGCTGTGGAAAATTTATCAACGAGCTCATCAACCTTAATGTCATTTCACTTGACATTGGAGTTGTCTAAATTTCTAAATGCAATTTCAATAAGATTTTGGGTATAATACTTGATATTGGATAAGAAAATATGTAACAAAATATTATATATTATATTTTGTTACAGAAAATGAAAGACTTTTGAAGATAATTGTAAAGAATTGTCAACACCTTATGATTATATTAGCTTTGTGTCTAAAACTTAATGCAACACCAGACACATTGATGGAAATACACAAAAATTTGGAGTTGCTGATAATTGGCAAATTCAATAGATTCTATGAATTTTTTGTTAGTATAAAAAACAAGTACTGGGCGTTTTTATAGAAAACGAATGTATTGCCAGTGGATATGCCAATATCTTCTGGGATTCCCACTTTAATCAACCCCCTCGAATGATTTCACCCCCTCCAATTATGGCCCCCTCCAAATGAACCTTCCAATCAGAACAGACAAGCTTTGAACCTGACCTGGGGTAGCATAAATGCTCTGCAAAAAATCAGTTCCTAGAGAAATATTTTTACAATCAGTTCTTAAAGATTATTACCTTACGTTATGTGTCAAACCCAAGGCCCGCGGGCCACAACCGGCCCGGCGTGTAATTATATCTAGCCCGCGAGATCATTTTATATAGTCTGTTTATAAAATGTGTTCAATAAATGTTTATCCTGTTCGGCCCGTGACCTAAAGTGTGATTGGAAGTTGGCCCCTTGTGCAATTGTGTTCGACACCCCTGCTTTCCGATGACGTTGCTCTTGCCGCCCACCACAGACGTCATGCAAAAATACCATAAATATTTGATACGCGAGAGAGATGACAAATATAGGCAACGTTGTACCATGTCAGCATTTTTAGGTTGCTTCAAAAGAAACTGCAGCCTACTTCAACTATGGCGGTTTTGCAAACGTTTGCTTTGTTAGCAACATTGTTTGGAACTGTGCAAAGCATATGCAGTTCAACCAACTCCTTAACGGCTACAGAGCTTTCCAGTTACAGATATGTTTCCTACAGTAGCAGCAATTACTGCACTTTTTATATCAAGCCGAGCAGTTTGTTGTCAGGCTCTTACTTTTTGCAGATTTCATGGCTATCATTCAGTGTCAAAGGAAATATGCCAGATTGCAGTAAAGAAGATTACGTACAAGTGTATTTGACAAGGTATAAAGTTTACTTTCGATTGTTGCAAATAAATTAAAGTAACTTTACCTTTGCTGTTTTTATTGAAAGTAGTTAGCCTCTAGGCCATTAATTAGGCTCAGTCTGTCAACTTATATTAACGTGAAAATTAGTCGAATCAGTAGTTGTTTTGAAAGCAATATTCAAAAGCTTCTAATTGCCGCAGAATATGCTGTGAATTATATTGCATGAAATTTTTGAGGTAGGTTTCTATTTAATTGTTATTAGCATTCATTAAGCATAGTTGAAGACACTGGGTTCAGGACGGAAATTATCTTCCAGTGGGCCTTCTTGCTTTTTCTTTTAACCACTTGAGCAGAAATTTTGTACAGTGGTGGCCTCAATCTTTTTGAAAATTTCAGCATAGTTTGTTTTTATTTTTTAGCAAGTATTTGCCCCTTCCTACCCATCCAAAACATAATTTATTGACTTGCCTTTGATACCTAACTTAAATAATTTTCAATGATGTGGATCTTGCCATAAGACGATACAACTCCCTTTTGGATCAGGAAGATATTTGTCTTAATTTGTACCTCATATTCCATTCCACTGCCTTTAAATAACTGCATGGAAAACATGTATGATTTTGTGGACGCGTCAATGAGACTAATGGCACATTATCAGCTGCGTCCTGCCAGCAGAAGCATTTGAGCTGCGAGCAACGATGCTCATATATACTTATTTTGGTATAATATATGAATTCCTTGATATTTTGGGTCACTGGAGGTGCGAGGTGCGAACATAAGAAGTCTAGGGTTCCTGCGAGCATATGCAAGTTTTCCAGCCTGGACAAAGCCTGTTAAAACAGCATCAAAATGTCTTGATTTCTTACAATGATAATCAAATTTTCTATGCAGTAGAAAGTTAAAGTTTACAACAAAATTGTATGATTATACATATTGTTATCTTACGCACAGGAGTTATAAAAGTATTGGAAAGTTCTGTTCAAGCAATTCAGGGAAGCCGTTTACCATGTACTCACATGATGGTTATGCAAAGATTGTTGTGAATGCAGATGCCTACAACAGTGGCTATTTCAGTATAAATTATGTACTGAAATCAAAGACCTCTAACACACTTGGATATTCATCATTTGTATCTTGCCCGTGAGTTATTTTATTCAAAAGTCTGTTCTTATCTGGGTAAAATATATATACAGAAGCTTTGTTTCTTAAAGGGGCATTTAGAAATATTTTCAAACAATTTTTTTTTTGTTAAATACAAAGATCAAAGATAGCTTTGAAAAGAGCAAACATTTTGAAACATACCTAAGCTTTCTGTAGACAGAAGGAATTGGCTTTTACCTCAGGACTCCATTGGTAACATTTTCAATAGGCAAGCAGCACTGATTGTGAAACCTCAATAGTAATGTGGTCATATTTCTGATTGGCCTATCTCCTCACACAACTGGGTATATATATTTCCAAGCTTAGAGTTTTTAACTTATATTTTATATTCTAAAGAGTGTCAGACAAAAAGCTTAAGAACGTTGCAAAATGTTTGCTTTTTTCAAAGCATTTGTTTAATTCTGTACCACCGAAAATATTCATGTATATCAATTTTATAAAAATTTGGATGTAATTGTATGTATATTTGTTTTTAGCAACACATACTCCTACAATAGTAATGGAGTGATCTACTCAAAAGGGTGGCCAAAGGAATACGACTCATCTTCCTCATCTTGTAAACATAGAATTACTCGCTCCTATGGTAAAAATGCAATGAAGATTATATTCATGGATCTGAACTTTGATTCAAACTCATACCAAAGTGACTGCATTGAAATCCAAGGTAAGCTAAAAGGCAGAACTTTCACTTCTGGTCAGTGGTGGATCCAAACAAAAATATGACATCCTCAAAACCCAATATGAACGACAGGCCAGGTCCATTTCCCGAAAACGTACAAGAAATTGATTTCTGTGTGCCAGGGGTGTAATAATACAAGGCAAAACTTTCACTCTAGTAGATTTATGCAAGCTTGATACTTGTGAAATACAAAACAAGGAATCACAGGAACCTGCATCTTGATTGTATCAAAACGGCTCTTTGTCTGTTGAAGTTTAGGGTGATACTCATATATCTGAATGGATTCAAAAGATCTTTGATAGGGTAAACTTACAATCAAGGGCAAGGTGGGCTTTTTTTAATGTTTTAGTCAAATTAAATGTTTATTCTCAATAATCCGGGCACAATGAATTGGTTTTTTAAAATCACTAGAAATTTCTATTGCTAGTTTTTATCATATGGTCAGCTATATGATATATACTATTTCAATAAAATATTACCTAATCCTCATTGGCATCTTTGAAAAATGCTATTTTTATGCAATGCTATTCAACAACTCTTACTCTGGTATTAACCTCCAAAAACGTACCACTGCCCTGAGATTTCTTTATTATCTATCATCATGGCCTGTGAGATATTCATTTACTTTGCGGAGATATGCTAGAAGAATGGGCGAAAAACAGGAAGGTGTTAGTTTTTCATTTCTAATTCCTTCAGGACCACTATCAGCAAAATGCAAAAAAAATATTGCTTGAAAATTAATTTTGTGGATTTGCAAAAATGTACCTATACTTTTGCTAGCTGTGCCTTTACTACTTCAAAGTGCATAAGACAGTGTTTTCACATTCTCACTCTAATTAGATGATACATTTTTGGCTGGTAAATTTTGTCTGGTTTAACTCTCATGTAAAAGCTTAATAGTATATATATATATATATTAGAATTAATGGGCAAATATCTTGAGGCTCAAAAAACAGGCAGCCAACTACTGTATCAAATGAAGATTTTGCTTGTGTATTTTGATGTATATTTCTTCCATGAATATTTCAGAGAAGCTATCATTCACCCAAAACTAGTTGAATAAATTAAGCCATTGACCAAATTTCAACTTTGAGAGGAATATTTACAAAGGCATCAGCGCCTTGAGGGACAGGGCCTTTAAATAATTTCAGAAGATGTGGCGTTGCCAAATCCGATGCTAGGATTAGCTTGTGCTTTAAATAGCAACTCGCCTAGTATGACTTTTTTATATAAACAAATCATAACAGGAAACATACATTACTTCTATGCCATTTACAACAGGAAAAGAAATGTGGTTATCTTGTTTTATCTTTCGATGACATTTAAATTACAGTATAATCCCATTATAACGTACTTTGAGGGACCAGCGTGTTAAGTACTTTATATCCCAAGTATGTTGTAAGGAGGGTCCTAAGTAAAAATTGACTAAAACCAAGCACACCTTTTGCCAGGACCAAGCACACTGGTACCTTTTATCCGAAAGTACGTAATAACCAGGCTTTCGTGGGAAAAATATAGCAGGCGTGCTAACCACCGCACCCCTGAAAACATCCAGGCGTGTGATGGCGTGTGACATTTTTTCACAAAACATTTTGGTAATTATGGTAGATCTATGAAGAAATGGCCAACACGAAAATGATGACAGCAATAATTTGATGAAATTTATTTCGCTGAATTCTTACCACGACTACTTACATTATAGCAACTGAGCAATTTTCTAAACAAGTATAAACTGAGCTTATTTAATATATCCAAAAAAATGGCACTACAAGTATAGAAATATGTTTGCCATGTCGTAAGCAGTTTTCATTAGCTTCAATAATGAATCCTTAGTAGAATCATTGATGCTTTGGCGTTCATCTGGTTGTAATGGCAGTTTTTGCGTGTAAATCAGTGCATCGAGAGCCCTTTGTTATCAAACATGACAGCTATTTTGTGTACCTCACTGGCCAGATACATAAAAGATAATGATGGCCCAATTTTCATTAAATCAAATGTTGCTAAAATCTAGATTTAAAGCATAGCGATGTCTAAAGAGGGGGCTGCAGGGAGTAGCGAAATCTGCGAATCCTCTGTTATTTTTTTCTGCATCATTGGCAAATCGGCTCCTTTTTATCGCAAAATCGGCTACTTTCGTACATTAGTGATAGAAAATGAAAGTCTTGTTGAAAACACTAAATGTTCCTCTTAAAATTCAGGGACAAAAAAATGTCTGTTATAGTCTTCGGTGTTTGTATTTGTTCGATGAAATGCCTTAAAGCCTTGAAAAGGTGTAAACGTTTGCACAAATCTCTTCTCCTTTTTTGCATCATTAAAAGTGCATGTTTGCCAATGTATGTTTTGTCGCTGGCAATAATGACTCCACCGAGAAATAGTGATAAATATACACCAGGAATAAGTAGACCAAAATAACGGTGAAAATTTTTGGAAAAGTTCGTCATATTGAGGAAAATTATGATGAAGAGACTAAATCAGGTTCGTTATAACGAGAATTCGTTATATACGGAATTCGTTATATACGGAATTCGTTATATACGGAATTCGTTATACAGAGGGAAAATGTGCAGAGACAGAGTTTTAGGGGCCAGACATTTTTTGTCATGCCGGAAAATTAGTTGTACTTGTAACCAGGTCAGGTTTCATAATATCAGGATTCCACTGTAGATTAGTTCTATGATTATTTCAAAATTTTATATTTAATCCGCAATCCTGAAAAGGTGTCAAGCCTTTTTGAAGTGGCATTACGTAATTGTACCAAGGAGGGATCAATATATTAACTCATCTCAAAAACGCACAAAACCAATAATTATGAATTTTGCTCCGATAATAAAAGAAGGCGTGCGATGTTTTGCACTCCTGGAAAGCAGCAGGCGTGCGCCAGTGCGTGCGCGTGCGATCGCACGCCTTTCGGACGAAAGCCTGAATAACCGAGTATGTTATAACTGGATTCTACTGTACACTTGTGATTCAACAAGGAAATGAAATAAAACAGGAAAAAGGGAAATGCTACCATATTATTATCCTGTGCCTAGGGAAACAAAGACACACCGCAATGCTCAGGTATGATTTATAATATCTTAATCTGTAACATGAATTTATTTAATGAAACAATTTTTCTTCTTTTTGGCAGGCTCAAACTATTCATCCACTTACTTTTCTCATTACATTGGGAAGGTTTGCTCATCAATCTACCCAAAGTCCTACATCACATATGACAAATATGTTCAACTTGAATTTGACAGAAATATTGGAAGTAACTATTACAGAGGATTTGTTGCAGGATACATCACATTCAGTAAGTGGAAAAATGTTCCTGAACTTGAAGATTTAGTTCTTCATTCTATAATCATTCGTGGAAATTATCATGAATTAGTAAAACTCAAAGCATTTGCTGGAAATATCTTTGAAATTTGTACTAAAAATCCTTATTTTATGACCCCTAGAATCTATACTTTAGTGGTGGTACCAGAAATCAAAAGCAGTCCCAGCCACTAACCTCTGGGGAGGACAAAACAAAATTGTTTAAGGCCATGCGATTTTTACCACCAGAAAACGCCCTTTTACCAGCAAGGAACACCAATTTTATCTGAAAGGGAATGCCCATGACTAACTTTTTGCTATGTAAAGGCAGTTTGAAAATCATAGGGTTACATCACAAAAAGTACACTGTCAAAATATTACCCCTCTCCCAGCATTTTCTCATTCAATTTAGACAAAATACAAAATCTTTCTTGCCAAGACCTGAGGGGACGTTCCCCTGTGGTGCCACTATGCCAGAAATTATCTGACAGAGGGATCATATGCCCTTTGAACATGTGGTCTTTCCCAACCTGAAAAGTGTTCAAAACCACATAAAACAAGAGGTCTTTGAGAGGAAATATTTCTAAGACCACCCATTTTCTGTTCAAGAAATATGTACCTAGTTGTAACACCTAATAGATGCTTTGTTAAAAACAAACTGAATCAACCTTTCTGAAAGAAAAACATAGGGCAAAATTGCCTCTCATATCTTGGTCTCATATCTTGGTCAATTTGGAACAATCTACCATCAAAACTAAAATCTGCAAAGAACGTTTCAAACATAAGATCAAAGATAAATTCTTTGATGATCTACAAAGTCAAGAGATAGCCCCCACATATTTTATTGAAAACCAAAAAGGTTAAAAAGGATGATAGTTAACATTTTGCCAGAATTACTTTTTTCCACGTTTTGGATACAAAATCCATTTTTCCTGAAACTCATTTTTTTATAACACCTCTGGAGGGAATATTATGGAAACAAGGTTATATTGACACATCCATGCATGTTTAAGTTTTGAATTGAATATGACAGTTGGGCAAGCTGTGTACCATCAAAAAATTTCAACTCCATATGCAAGAATTCCAAGACCACAAATGGTTTCCCTATAACCACACTTAAATATGCAATCCTTTCTAATGAATTCTAAATCATATCAGGACTTTGTCATTGGCTCCATTCATACCGCTCCATGTCCAAATTGAAAATCTACAGAAATTATTGCTTTTCACATGTTTGCATTTTCAAACTATTTTCTTATCTTTTTTCTTGTTTTCATTTTGATCAAAATATAATTGAAAGACCAAAACATATATCCAATGACAATAGCATCAAACATTTGAAACAAAGGATAATAAAGTAGATAAAAACCTTTATTGAAAAGGAGTCTCGAAGAGTTACAGGGAGCAGCACCGCTTTAAAGGGGTAACAGAAAGAAGCAAGGAATAAAGAAGGGCAACAGGAGAAAAAGGAGTAGCAGGGTTAGTAAAGAGTAACAGAGAGGAAAAGGCAGTAGGAGGGGTAACAAGGAGGTGCAGGCTTAACAGGGGTTTCTATTTTAAGTTATTAGCCAATAACCTGAAACTTCCGTAGCCATGGTAAAGGGATTTGGATTTGAGTGGCACTGATAAAATGTTTCTTTTATATTATTGTGCAAAATCCCGTATTGTAATGAATGACCACAGTTTTGTGGATCCATCTTGATCTGTTTTCACATTTATTCCAGCTTCATAATTGGTTTTTCGATTTTTTTCTATTCAGCTAAAAAGGTTGACAATAGCCACAAAGAGAGTGAAACTACTTTTTCGACAATGGTTTGGAAGATTTTCACTCCCTTAATTATTGTTGGTGTTGCTCTTGGTATCCTCTTTAAATATCGTCGTCAAATGAGACTTCGAAACATTGCAATGGCCAACAGGCAGGCTGTTATTGCCATGAATACTGAGCAAACTGCTGCCTCTACAATCACAACTGACGTCACTGGTGCCACAACAACTATGACATCATCTTCAGACCAATACCCAAAATCAAGCTATCCAGCCTCCACCTACCCAGCTGCGTTCTATCCTACTGCAAATAATGCCTATCCACCTAGTAGTTTGGCATATCCAACTGCTGGTGCACCGTATCCAGCTCCTGGTGGACCATATCCAACTACTGATGCATACCCAACGGTCACCGGATCGTACCCACCCCAAGATGGAAGCTACCCCACATATGGATATGCACCTCCAGCATATGATGCTGCAACTAGTTCAGAAGCAGGTAATAACGGACAAACAACCCAGCCAGTAGGCCAAACTAATCCTCATGAAATAGGAGTGAATCCAGCCGGAGAGCAGACAGCAGAGGGCAATGTGCAGGCACCAACCTCCTCCGTTGCACCAGCATATCCCCCCAATACACAAGGAGTAACTTACTCTGCACATGGGGGGCCTGAGACATCATTCATACCACCAGTTGAGCACAGTGGTACCTTGCCAGACGCACCACCTCCTGCTTATCCTAATGTACCACCACCAGCTTATAACTCTGTTCAAAACTGACAAATATGAACAGCTGGAAATTCATTGAAAATCTGTACAAATTGCCTTGTTTTTTAATTCATCTCATTGCAGCAAGTATATATTCTTAAAACACGTATTCATCAAAGACATACAAAATTCATGTTTTAGCCAGATATGTTAAAACACTGAAAAAACATTTTTGCTTTGTATGAATGACTAAATTAAATCATTAATTAATTGAAAACTAGGGAATTCACAATATGTATGAGTTTTAAGGATCATGTTAGTCAAATTGTCTCTCCTTTCTTAAAGGCATCGAGTCATGATAGAAAAAGTCTATATACCCATATAGGCTAATTCCTGATTTTAATGCTGCAATGTTATTTGTGGGCCTGCCTGACACTGATCATACGAAGTTGCCTCAAACTGATAAACGAAACAGCTTCCGTCAATAGCAATTTATCAACAAAAGATATCACATGAAACTAGAGCAATCCTTTGAAAGTAAATGACCCCTATAGAGAATGCATTTTTGCCATGACTCCATGCCTTTAATAGGGTGTTTTTGTAAGATAAATGAAACTATAGCAGCCCCAAAATAAGATAAGCCAGTTCCTTTTGCATTTAAAGGCCCCGTTGAAAAACAACACACATAGACTAGCCATATGCATTGAGATTTTGTCCTTTTCTAACATGGCCAGACTTTGTTGTGATACCGTACACCCGGCTTGCTATTTCCCCAGAATGTCAAAGAACGTCAACAGACATGCTTCATTACAAAGAACATCAGTTTTTGCTGTAAATACTCCAAACACGTAAATTTAGAAGACTCTCTTGCCGGTTGCCCCAGGTGATTAGAAACACATTCCGTGTCAATTATCACTATCCGTGTTTCAAGGCTCCAGTGCCAAATACTTCACGCGAAAAAATTACTTTGAATGCTTTTGTTGACCTCACGACATTGGAAGGATGACAAGTTTGGAAGCATGACAAAGGGATATGGACTTTGATTGGCTGTTGAAGGATTTCGCAAGCGAAAAGCGAAAAAAGTTAAACTTATTTTAACTTTTTTTCACAGAGAAATTCTTCGCGCGATATCCCAGCAAAAGTTCACTGCGCATGCCCATAACGTATTTCGCGCGAAATTTTTTCGCATTTCGCCGATTTTTTTCTCACTGGAGATTGGGCTTAAGAAACCAAGGTTTCAAAACGGATAATTTGTTTGAATACAGTATTTTATAGTTGTTTTCATTTACTTGTTGTCATGGTCTCCTTTATAGAATTTCAGCTTGGTCTGGTCCTGGGGATCTGGTAATATTTACTTAAAACGTATTTTATCAAAACTTCCAGCTTAAAATTGATCTTGAATATAATCTAAGTATTTGATCAGATTCTGACTGTAATTACCTTTTTAAAATAATGCAAATCAAGCGATTGTAAGGTTGATTTTAATTTGATGTGTAATGGTTTCATTACGTCATATTTATTCTTGATGAGTTGATTCGTTTACAGCCATTACTCTTGACTGCTCGAAATCTCTATCTTTGAGCCTGCGTATTCGCATATTTTCGCTTTCCCAGACCATTAATATTGACAAAAAATGTTCAGACCCCTCGGGTCCTGGGCCTAAATTTAGTTACATGGAATGCTGACTGGATACAATCTGTGACAGGAGCAGTTGGAAAGTGGGATGAAACGAAAGCATGATTTTCAAATCGACCTTTTTTCAATGTCTTTACGTTGACTTGTCAGCCACGATAATAAGCATCGATATTTTGACAGCAAAACGACCAATGTACTTGAAGTTTTTGGTAGATGACCATAGCTTTCCCAAGGTACAGCAGACTCCGCCACTCCGCTTAAAGTCACACCACCCTTGGTTGCAGCCGGGTCAATGCCCCTGGCCCCGAATGGGGCCTGTGCTCAAAGCTGAGTTTTTTATCGATAATGCATAATTCCAGGTAAGGCTTTCTCCCGTAAGGGCTCTAAAAGGCTTGAAATTAAATATTGAAGTTTTTAAAATTAATTCTGTGATGTTTACGTTTAAAACGTCTTTTCGACGATCTTGAACTCAGGCTAGCAAAGTGGGACCGTCAAAACGACAAAGAATGATGGCGATATTGCTACAAACATTGACTCAAGTGGTGTTGTCGACGCATTTGCCTTAAAATGCTCGTAAAGTGGTACTGTAAAGGTTTTGAAAATTAATGGGTAACAGTTTGAATAAAATATTTCGGGGAGAGAGGGGCTCAGAAGTTGACTCACATTTAATTACCACGTAGTTAATTTTTTTAACGTTATTTGTAACGCCGCATTTACCTATTTTTGTGAGAAAATTGTATAAACAGAACCAAAGACTAATGGTTTGTGAGAAAATTTAGAAGCGATAAACATTTTAACCACGCTGCAAAACAACGTATAAAGCCCGTTTTAGTCTTCAATTTCAAAACACGGGTGTTTCCAGGAACGAGAACAGGGCGTTGCCAAAAATGTTTCGTCTTCGGAACAAATTTGGGCCCGTCCGGTCTTTTGCCCCGGGGCATGTCCCGCCCTGGTTATAGTAAAAATCTTACAGTGAATGGCCTGAGCTATGAGGTAGATGCCAACAGTAACCAACTGAAAAACAAGAGATTACAAGATTTCTATCACATAGACATGCTCATACCTGAAACTCGTCCTCCATCTCTTTAAGAAATGAAACCTTGCTTGAATCAACAGTAGAGAGAACTCTCTCCGTCTCCTGTAACAAGTGATTAAAGGATAAAAAAGCAACCTTCTAAAATTTTTTTTTGGCTCAATACATGATTAACGAAAAGCACTGATCACAATTAAAGGCTTGAGAGTTTTAGACAGGAAGTTGTTTAGTAGACTTCAAGCCTTTTTAAAATTAAAACATAAATCTGCAAACCTGGAATGTCTCTAGGTTTTTTTCAAAATCTTTCATCCTCTGTTCGATTTTGTTATCAAGCACCTTCTCTTTTACAAGTAGCTCCTCCATCGTTTCTTTAGAACGCTCTGCCTCCAACTTTTCCTCTTCTTCTTGTTTTTTAAGCAAAGTTTGTAATTTTTCATTTTCTTCTTCTTCAAGTTTGGCGATGCTTTCAACCAGTTCTGTTGAGCAAAACTTGCTTGATTTAATGAATGAAGATCAAACTCTTCTTAATATTTATAGTTCCTTTGGGCCTTTTAACCTGGCTTTTCCACATTCACATAAGACATTTATTTGCTTTATTGTTGGTTGGCATCAGGTACCAAAGAGGCAATTTCAAGCAGCTAATTCTTATTAGCTTGAAGGTCGTATTCCATAGCGAATTTCAGTCAGAGGCTTTAGCTTTCCTATAGTTCTTTTTGTTATTATTTGAATTTATTTTGACAAACAAAAACTTTATCTAATATTTTTCAAAAAGATTACCTTTTTCCTCTCTTTTGATTATTATGTTGTAAAACGAGTACAAATAGATATTATTATGAAATGCCAAAAAAAATTCCAAGACAAAAGAACGCTCATCACATTAAAAGCCATCTAAGTTTACTAGACGTATCTTGAAGCTTAAGATTGCTAGATACACCAGCAGCGTAGATAGGAAAATTCATAGGAGGGGCAAAAAATTTAGATTTTTCCTACAAAAATTTAATAAGCACTTCTATTTTTACCTATATTTGAATAAAACATAACAAAACCGGAACTGAAATAAAACAATAGATAAAGTCTTATCATTTATTCAAATTTAAGTGTCATAAATCATACGAATGGAAGATTTTATTGGTCTTCTCTTTTAAAAAGGCATTTTTGAATATCATGCCTTATTGAAAGAGATTGCAAACCTGATTGAAAAAAATGAAAGAAGTAATCATATTCATCTTCAAAATCTTTCCTTTCGAAATGTAACACTTGGATAAAAACTGACAACTCTGTTATATTTACAACAAGATCAGAAATTTTCAGACACAAAAGAAGTTTAACTTCAGATAGAGGCATTCATGGTTTCATGTTAGGTTTGTCAATTTTTTCTCTTTAAATTAGACGTTTCTCATCCCCTCTAACCCGCCCCTCTATCTATGCCACTGAGATACACTACTATTAATGGCCTTTAAGAAATTACCTGGGTTGTACACAGCAACAATGAGCTTATTTTCAGACTGTCCTCCCACAAAATCATTTTTCTCCAGCTCCTTCAGTGCCTATCATAAAAAAGTTGAGAACATTGTTAATCAAGTACCAGAAAAATTGTCTCCATGAATGATGAATTTGCCATCAAGACCAAATTATACATAAACAGGCTCCAAATAAAAAAACTGGCATCAAGGAATGTCATTTTAATAATGGCTTTAAAAAAGTAAACATTTTGAGCGACCTCCACAGTCATGTGCTTGTGTTTTCTGATTGACCCATTTCGATCCACAACTAGGTATATATATTTACTAGTTCTCGATCTATGTTCTGACGTTTTATTCTCTGAAGAGTGTCAGGCAAAAAGCTCAAGTATGACTCAAAATGTTTACATTTTTCAAAGCCATTTTTAAGTTTTGTACCACCAAAAAATTGTTTGCAAAATTTCATTGTTCTAAAAACTACTAAATGAACAAGCCTTTAAAATATTATTCAAATACTGAAAAGTCTGTTAATCAATCAATCTAGAAAATATACCTTTTCTCGAAGCTGGATCAAATTTTCAGTTTGAGAATCAGATTCCTGTTCATCTTCTTCTAGCAACTTTTTGAGCTTTTCAGCAAAAATCGTGTCCATACTAGGTTGGGAATCTGGCAAAAATGGAGAACAAAAAGCTATCAATAAAGGAATTTCTTGATTAATAAATAAAAAACTGTACAGTTGTCACTTCAAAACCAATAAGTTGCTCAGTGATTAGATTTGCAGTCTACAGATCCAAGGTTGTGGGGTTTGAGTCTCTGCCATAACCTAACTTGCAACTACAATGAAAAGAGTCATAAGCTCTCTGCAATTCAGGCATAGAATCATTAGGTGTGGTGACATCATTAGAAGGGACCTGGACACTGCTTGATAAGCAAAGCTTCTTAATGTCCTAAAAACTACCTTTGGACTTATGTAGAAACAGATGCAAAGAGGCTTTGGTAAAATCAAATAGGTTTCCATCTAGCATTAATCAATAAAAATCTAGAAGAGATACAAATTGGATCAAAGCAGCTGTGACATAACAATAAAAACAAAGTAGATAAATGACATCTAAGCTAGACACATGTCTTTCTCAAAATCTTGCCAAATCTCAGATGTCATATAAATAAGAGAACATTTTCAAAAATAACATATTGTTACCATGGCTTTTCTCAATCAGTGTCTCCTGGCTTGCAAGTATGGTTTGGCTGGCTTTGTCTTGGTTATATTTTATCAAATCCAGGTATTGACTTATGCTTTTTTCATATGCTTCGATCTTGGAAAGATAAAAAAATAAATTAACCATGCGCACAAACATCAAGAAAAGTGAAGATAAATATATGTTGTAATATACCACTTTTACCAGATACTGTACAATATCCTGACGCGCGTTAAAGGATCCTGTAGGATCTCAGATCTAGACTGCAGGGCTGCTGAGAGAGGGGGCTAATTGCACCCGGGGCCTCTAAGTCTAGGGGGCCTCATAAAGTAATGTTTTTCCTTTTAAGAATGGAATTAATTACGCATAGCAAAATTATGCCTGCAAAAAGTAAAATGTTTTAAATGATTGCAAGAAATGACTGCAAGAAATTTTCTGAGATGAATTTTAAGCTTATCTAAAGGGCATGGTTGCAAAAATTTTCTGCTTGTTCCACTTGCAAGGGGCCTTGTCTTTCCGTTTTGCCAAAGGGCCTCAAAAATAAAAAAAATCTCTTGGCTGCCTGCAAGACTGCAAAGTATGGCAGTTTCCAATAAGATCTTGGGTGTACAAGAGCAAAATTTTAAGTGTACAACTCGTCTTTTGGCATAAGTGTGCACTTCAATTGTGTATATAGTTTCCACAACATCGCACAGCAAAGATAAGAAAACCAACATCATTTATAATTGTTTTGTATCTATCAACCCAATTGAATATTATGTTGATCTTGAGGAAACTGATTCTTCATTTGCACAAAAGCAATAGGAGACATTCATGTCGTGCCCAAATATCAAAATGCTGCATCCTTTATTCCCTGCATTATTGTTTCAAGGACCGCAAAATATCAAAAACATCTTGTGAATGCTTCAGGTTAAATGGTTATTTAAAGGAATAAGAAAAAAATTGAACCTCTAGCTTTTCGTTTTCGTCGATGTTTTCATCGGGTTGATCTAGGCCTAAATCTTCTTCCAATTCAATCACATTGTCTTCCAGTGCATCTAGCTCCTGGCGAATTAAAGCCTCAATTTCTTCATCATCTGTAGTTCCTATGTCAATATTCTTATCATAGTAGATATTTGCCATTGTTTGATATTACTCTTCGCAACAGGACAGTAGATCCGCCATTTTGTATGTTTGTAGCTATGTTATTTGCGCGACACAAGTTCAAATCTCTCCTTCGCATCGGTGGGAAAAATAGGTACATAAGGGAAAATCGAATAGAAGGCAGTAAATTAATTTTTATTGTTTTGCTGCAAGTATTTCGAAATTTTATTGACGTTTAAAGTTCCAACTTCCTTCCTTGAAAAGATAAAAATGTTGTGGGTGAATCAGGAGAGTTAAATTAATTTTAGGTCATCGCGGAGAGAAAGATTACACTCCTCAGCCAATCCTTTTTCGAGGGGCAAATTACATTTTCGTGAAACTCTCGTATACCTTTTGCTGGAAATCCTTTTGCTTTTTCCGAAAATCGTTAAGAACTCTCTCTTTTTCGTGAAAAACTCATACATTTTTGCCTGAAGGAACTGTCCCTCGATTTTTACAAAGTGCACACTTTTTTAAAAGAATACCTGATTTTTTTGCTGAGCCTAAATATTCTCAAATTTCTTTGACTTTGAGCCTAAGAATATTTTTAATCTATTCTTACGCGACACAGAGACGTCTATTTCAAAACATATACCCAAAACAAGGGGTGTAGTGATAGGGGGCTGAGCCCAAGGGCGGATCCAGAGCAAACTTGAAGGAGGGGCAGTTGGTGGTGGGGGCGCTGAAAAATTTTAAAAAGTTGATTACGAGAGTACGCTGTATACAATATTTTAGACCCACTTTCGGAATAAACAACGTAACTTTGAGGTAATCCTTGAAGCAAATTAACCTATCGGTCTCAGAAACTTTTTCGCCTGATTCTCATTCTTCAAAAGGGGCGCACAATTTCCAAAAAAGGGGCGCCAGACTTGCTTGAACTCGTCGAGGGAGGGGCAACTGCCCCTAGTTGCCCCTCTTAAATCCGCTACTGGCTGAGCCCCACGTGTTAACGCTAATTTGATGTAGTATTACTAGAGGTCCAACGTAACTGCATTGGCTAAATGGAACTATTGATGATAAAACCAGCTAGACTGACAGCACCACCATTTTATAAGAAACAAAGGTCGATGTTGAGTACTACAGTTTCTTAATGTTCTGGAAATTTCAATACTCACTGTTTCTTAAGAGTTTCTTAATTATTTTTTCTCGTGAAGAGATTCGCTTCCGTTCTGACGCTGTAATTAGACACATATTTGCTTCCGTATCTATTCTGTGATTGAGACATGGGAAGTATAGGGCAATCAAGTTTTGGATTTTACAAAACTTCATTGTTCTCAGTTTTATCACGATTCAAGAGTTTCATAATTTTTTGCTTCAAGTACTGAAGCTTCTTGATTTTTTCTGACTGTCCAGTACTCGTTTTTTATAGCCAGTTTCTTACAAAAATGACTGTATTGTAATGAGCGATTCGAATTGTTCACCGTTCACAAACATCAGACTGGAAATCTTTTAAAAGTTTAAACAATTAACGGTTTTGAATAATTAAAAATTTTAAAAACTCTTCAGAGCATAAAATGTCAGAGTATATTAATCAAAATTTCTAAAGTAGGAGACATTTATCCGTCGTGGATCGAAACAGGCCAATCATAACATGACAGTTCAGGTCGAGGGGCAATTCACTCTTGAAAATAGCGTACGAGATTTTCCCTAAAACAAAAGGATTTCTGGGGATTTTCAGACAAAACAATAGGATTTTCGCAAAAGATATACGAGATTTTTTCTGAGTGATTTGCCCCTCGGTTCAGGTTGCTCAATCAGTGCCGCTTGCCAAAAGGAAATATTACCAATTGGGTCCAAGGATGAAAAGGAACTTTTCCTGTCTGCACAATAGAGCTTATTTCAAAACCGTTTTAAAATATTGTTCCACTAAAAATTGTCTACAACTTTAGGTAATGATGAATCTTGCAGCAAGATCAATAAAATATCAAATCTTAAACGTATAATGTCATTTAACAGCATTGTCAGACACAAATATAAGTTCTACGTTTTACCTTGGGGCTTCTAGGATCCCCTTAACAATGTCACAGGTTAAGGGCTCTTGCGCAACCGGCACGCTTTGCGATTGTAATTCAAAGAACCGGCCTAATATAGCACCGCATAAAAAAATAAAACACAGTCAATTTCTGAAGACAGCTGCCGCTAAGCATGCCGGTAGCGCAAGAGCCTTTAAACAGGACCGTAGATCCAGAATCACTGAAGGCCACTTGCTTAAATTTCATTTGCATAACACACTGGTAGTCAGCTATTGGTCTAAATGTAGATCAAACCCTTAGAAGAACTACATTCTCTTTACGATCATATTCATAACAACATATTATGTTGACCAATTGTATTTGGTACGACGATCATATTATATTTGGTATTTATCTGCAATAAGGCCGTATTACAGAAGTTGAACTACAATGATGTTATTATTGGTCAAAAGATAACTGTCAATCAACGAAACCCAATCACAAACAACAGCGACTTGGATTGGTGTTACATACACTCTTTTTTTATAAGAACCAGTAAATTTAAGTTCAGGCTGACTGTTTTTAATTTTTTCGAAAATCTGAGGCTGGATTGTTCTTAATTTGTTCTTAAATTAAAAGGGTGTAAGCAGTGCTATTGCTAGCTTTCTCGCTCTAAGGAGGTGCTCGGGCCTCATTTGCCAACAAAGTGAGTGAGACAGCCTTAATTTGCTGACAAATTTGAATATTCACCGAAAAGCACCCACACATCGCTAAAAATCCTCGATTTTGAGAAAAAACGTTGTTCAAAATTGCATTTTGCAGAAGCTCAGCCTCAGCTTGTCTTAATTTGTTCTTAACTTTTGACCAGTTTTGAGGCTCGTGTTCTTATAAAATTGTTCTTATAAAAAAAGGGTGTAATTTTTCATAACAGAAATCAGCAATTTTAGAACTTGACTTGAAAGACACAACAAACAAATACCCGCACTTCCGGAAAATTTCATTATTAAATGAACTAATTAATGTGATGCACGAATATTTTAGAAATGTATCTTCACAAATGCCATTTAGTCTTAGGTGATGGATGTATTATGCTGCAAAAATAAACACAGTCAGTAGTTCCGGATGGTGACAGCATGGCCGATACTGGACAATTCTTGATAATACCGGTCACAATCTAATGCAATGATATCATAAACTGCAATAAACACTGGTGTATTGATGGAGTGAAATGAGCAAGCAGGAAACTGCGAATTATCGATCACTGTTGCTTGCATTCAGCGGGCTTATCTCCTCCCTAAAACAGAGTTATTAGTGTGATTATGATAACAAATCATCATGATCAAAGATTCTGTGATTAATGATTTCCGTTTTTGATCAGCATCGATGATAATGGTTTATGACGCGGTATCCATTGATAATCACAGCAACTTGGATATCAAGATGGATGATCACAATTGAATGATTAACGATTCGTGATTATAGTTGATCTTTACAACTATATAATGATACGATATGCGTCCATGATCTGCCTGAGTAAGACAAAGTCTGATTATAACAATATGTGACAAACATCACAATGCTATGTGACACAGCACGAAAAATGTACGTCAGTTTTCTGCAGCTGCTAGAAACAGAAATTCATGCAGCTAGAACAGATCTGGCATTGGTGTCTCTAGCATCAGAATGGAACGCTGCAATCCACAAGAAAGAAATGCAGGTTTCGAGATGATGCTGGGGTGAATAACATTCCATGAAGCTAGTTTTCAATGTTTTCCCAAAGAGCAATGGTGGCCCTTGATTATCATTATTAAACGTTTGAAACCTTAAATCTACTAGTTTTGTTTCTAACAATCTCTTAAGTCCTTGGTACCACATATGGGCTACTTTATATACACCCTTTCTACCACCAACATACTTTGGAATTTTTAGATGCACATAGCAATAGTTATATATGATAGCAACAACAGGTGTGATGTTTTCTCACAAATGCTCTATGTTTCTGACGTTGGATGAAATATTAACCCTGACAAGGGGGAGCACATAAGTTATCTTACCGGTTGTGGGACAAAATCGGGGTCTTCGTCGTCGTCTAATTCTTCATCGTCGCCCTGCAGAATGAGAACACAAGTTGCTATCAAAAACATACTTAAACAAATACCCAAGACCTTTATCTTATATACCCTATAGGCCCTCATATCAATAAAATAGGTTCAAAAACAGAATCTTGTAGCATTATTGACCGTAAATCATAAACATGGATGTTCTGTCAACCTATTATACAAACTCGTCAGGCATACATAACCTGAAGGCTAGCAATATAGGCATTTTTACTCTGGCATCATTGTAAAACTAGCATGCTATAGAGCGTGCCAGTCCTTTGAAGATGCTTTAAGTTCCTTGTGAAGTGGAGCGGTTGTAAAGGAAACCTGTTTGCATTCTATTCTGCAAAAGAGCCCCCGCCATGACGTTAAAAGTAGGGGGCAACGCTAGGAAAAGTAGGGGACCAAGGCTTCAATCCCCTTTTACTGCAGCTTTAAAACTATTTGCTTCGCAAAAAAGTGGGGGGCTTCCAAAATTTCACTTGTTTCATGAGTTGTAAGATCAACTTTCAATACAACTGTGTGGACAAAATGACGTAAACGTAAATCGAATACAAGAAATAAACTATTCACCTCGTCTCCGTCACTTCCTTCGAACTAAAATAAAAACACAACCAATTTAGTTGCACAATGACAAAAAGTCAAGCAAATTCCAACCTAAAACTTTTTGTCAAGAGTTGATTCCCTTTTATAACTATCAAATCAATATATAGCAGCGTTAACAAAAAATAACAGGAAAACATGACGTGATTACAACTCTTTGCATTGCAATGTTCACTTGAGCATTTTCTGGATCAAAAGTTTGCATGGGTAACAAAATACATTGAAATTTGAGCATAGTCCGAGAATAACGCCTGGACATCCGATGAATTAAAGAACACAGTACTCACATCATCATCGTCGTCCTCGTCAATAGCTTCGCCGGTGAAATATAAAATAGCCTGGGGACAAATAAACAAATATAAGAGAATAAAAGACAAGCCACAGCCAGGCACGTTTTGCCAACCAGACAGCAGAAAGAATATCATAGCAAAATTAACAAAAATCAGTATTTAGGTTCCAGCCCTATTACACTAAAGCTATCCATAACTCTTGAAGAATGGTGTTCCTAACTAAAATTCAGAATTTTGTTTTCCAACAGGGGCGGACACTTGGTCAAATATTGGGAGGGGGCAAGCCTATTGTTTTAATAAGATGACGTCACATTTCCCATTGTTTTAGAACAAAAGACCATTGTTCTCTAAAATATTGGGGGGGGGGCGGTCGCCCCCCCCTCGCCCCCCAAGTGTCCGCCACTGTTTTCCAATATATAAATATATAAATTGCAAAACATTCGTTCGATTTCTGAAGAATAAGAAAGACATTGTCTAAAAGTAACATCACTAATCATTTTAATAAGTAACATAAAATAAATCATAATCATGAAATCTGAAAAATAAGAATACCCTTGGTATCAGTCGTTCCCTGAAAAAGTGTCCTAGTTCGAAATCAGCTGCGAGAAGGGCTTCCATGTCTTCTTCCTGTAGAAAGGAAGATAGTAGACTTGTTAAGCAAAGTTAACACGAAGTAAGCACTATGAATATTGCGAAGCGTATTGCGTAGCAAATGCAGAACGAGAATGTGGTATTTTCAGTTATTTGAACAAGGATTTTGTGAGGTGCTGCCTCTGAGTTTGTTTCTGGAAGTTCGTGAATTTGGATTGGTTCAAGAAATATTTGCTCATCAAAAGGAGCTCTAGAGAACTGTGTTTGCACATGCCTCTTAATTTAAATAGCATTGAGTTACGGTTCCAGTATCATTGGCATAAATCTTAGTGTCATCGCTACCAACAGATGTAGCGGTAAACCAAATAATATACTCATACTTGCACTTGTAACATCGGTTTACAAAAAAATGTAAGGATGCATCGTCCGAGCAAAATACTAGAGACAATTTGATCGGATAGCGGCAACCCTTGTTGTACTATATGCAGTTTATAGATATATCAGTCAACTAGCTCATTGACTGAGCAGGACTGGGCCTAACTGCAGATGTGACTACAATTACACACACGGTGATATAGAGCTGATAAGTCCTACCTAAAATATTATGAAGGAAAACGAAACCAGGATCCAACCAGATAGTTGTTTTTCAATACAGGTCCATAATAGATTGGGTAATTTAACTTTGCAATTAAAAGATCGACAGAAAACTGAAGTAGCTAGAAAAAATGCAAAACTGTGCTTCCAACTAACCATTTCTTCTTCTTCATCATCAACTGTAAATGAAAAAGTAAAAAAAATATTTAAAAGCTGATACTTCTAAATGTGTAAGCTAAATGGCTAAAAACGGTAAAAAGGTAAAACGCTGTAAAAGAAGCTATGGCATCCCGTCAAAATTTTCGAAACGTCCAGTTGTGAAAATTGTTACACCTTCTCCAACCAAACACAATGTTGGGGAGAGAAGAAGGTGGAAAGTGGAGAGGAGGGGAGAAAGGAGGGGGAGAAAGGAGGGGGAGAAAGGAGGGGGAGAAAGGAGGGGGAGAAAGGAGGGAGAGAAAGGAGGGAGAGAAAGGAGGGAGAGAAAGAAGGGAGAGAAAGGAGGGACGGAAAGGAGGGAGAGAAAGAAGGGAGAGAAAGGAGGGGGATAGAGGATATGAAGCTACCATCAATTACTTTCATCCTTGTTATGTCTACCCATTATACAAGGCAAACAGACAGGGTGGCCTGTTCGCTAGCAATATGGGGAATTCCACTTTCGCATCGTTGTAAAACCAGCAGGCTACCAAAGCAGGCCAGTCCTTTGAAGATGCTACTGGGAATGCTGAACCATAGAAGGAAGTAAATATGTCATTGTGTTTTTGACCCGATGGACCAATTAAACAATCACTTTTACCTGGGACGCTGACCTAAAGAAACTTAGGACCTGAGCAATATGCCTATGAACATGGCGAATCATGATTCAAAGTGCGACATAACAAATGGTTTGATGATTAATGTAAACAAAATATTCTGATTTAAGAGGATTTAGCATATCGCGGCGGAACTAGATGACTAAAAATTCCGGAAATATAAACTGTGGACAAAAATCAACTTAAGATCAGTCTCATAAAAATAGCACTTTTGTAATTTTGCTTTTCGGTTTACAACAAATGTCTGTCATATGTAAAGGTATTATGTGTAAGAAAAACTGACCTTCCGGAGGGGCAAAAAAGTTGAAAAATGAATCGTTCTTCACTGTTTTTGTAATAGTCCTGGTCTGACCACGTCCTGCAATTAAACAAAAAAGAGTTTATTGCAAAGTAGACATTAAGCCCCAGAATGTAAGCCTTTATTAGTAAACAATAATCTATACACAAGAAAACGGTATTCTCATAACGTGGCATTAAAATAGTGCAAGGAAAAGAAAAAAGGAAAAGAAGTAGGCATGAGTCTTGGAGATGAGCAAACGCAGAGAGACGAAGAGTTCACAAGAAGTAGATTCCTGTTTGGAACGTTTTATGATTAGCATTACTTACGTCTATAGACAGCAAGACTTCTACGATACTGAAACTCTATTGATCGAGGGTGGGTAGTAAAAGATCCCTATCATAAGGGAGATAGGATCGGTGGAAGAAAAGGGTGGCGAGGAAACTAAGTTGCCTTTTAAGGGGAGGGAATGGAATGACCAGTTTTAAGGTACACTGCCTGTGTGGAAAACCTGTGATAGCAGGAAAAGCTGCAGATACAAAGTCTATGGCTACATCGAGGAGGGGCAAGTTATACAAGGTGCTTGATAAGCATGGTTTGAAAATGTTATCTTACAGATTAGATTTACAAAAAATTTGGGCATACCTTTATGCTTCTGCTTCTTTTTGATCGTTTTTTGTGTCACATTTTTACCTTTTTTCCAGTCGATACTACACCTGCAAGAGGAAGAATAAGACATGTGACGAACAGAAAAACAATATTTGGTCGGATATATAAATAAAAAGCACAAACTTTCATGCCACTGGATTGGTAAACAAAATATTTGAATGTATATTTACAACGGAATTTCGTCAATAGACACCTCCTAACTATGGACACATCAGAACAACGAAGCCCAACGAGCAACTGTCACCATAGAGCAACGGACATCTCTCAACTACGGACACATCAGAACAATAGAACCCTAAAAGCAACGGGCACATCAGCACAATGAACACCTTCAATAGCGGACATCTCGTAAAAGGACACCTCTCAGAAAAATTTCTCTGCTGCAATCTTGAAATTTGCACATTGTATAACCAACCACAAAACAAAACTCACATCCCTACGAAGAACATGTACTTATGTTCAACAAGTGTCCGCTTTTAGATATCATGTTGAACCTATACAGAAACGCTAGCAGTTTTTATCAGAAAAGTTCACCAAAGGCTTTCTATAAGAAGATAATGCAAAAACAAAAACAGAAAAGACAAGCCGATTTAATAAACATTATTGCATATCAAAACTCTTGTTTAACACTAATGAACAAAAACTGCCATCTAGATAATTTTTCATTGCTTCCAGGAATCTGTCAACAACCATACACCAAAACCGCTACATAAATAACTATTAAACAACATTGTAGAAGAACCCTTACCCAGTGCATCCGGTTATTTCAGTTCCTTCAAACGAAAATGGGTCTTCTTTGCTTGGATGACATTGAACTTTGTATGATTTTGTTAAAACCTGCAAAGAATACGAAAGCTAAATCTAAAAAGAGCAGAATACAAACAATGTTGGTTAGCTTCGTTATCTTGATCATCTAAAATTCCTGCTACAAGTCTTAGTAACCTAACGTCAGTTTTCAATGGCAAATGCAGCCTTGCCCGTCCCCTCCATTTGTAAATTTTACTGCAAAGTATGATTTTTCCTACGACTTGTATGATATATTTCTAAAGTGTCAACATTGTTTTCTGGAGGAAGAGGGTGCGGAAGAAGTATTCAGGAAAAGAATTTAACATTATCACAACACAACACATATTGCTGGGTGTTTCAAGTACTTTAGGCAACGATTGTAGGTTCATATGTGAGCCGTTTCACAGTAAGATAAAATCTGACAATATTCTTTCGTTCTTGAGTCCGATTATAAATGCACGGATTTCGGATAGACCTTAGAAATGTAACGAGGTGATTAAAGGCCACAATGAAAAGTATATACTGTTTTCAAGATACAATCGAGGCACATTGTCCAACTTTTTCTTCACACCTATACCTGCTTTTCCGAAAAAAAGCAATGTAATCTAACTCTTGTAATCAGCCATTAACCGATGTGTCAATGTTCTTCAAACACCAGCATCTCCTACATCTGTCTTCAGGTTTGATAAAAACATTCTTCTCTGATTGTTGTTTTTCTGATCTCAAGTTATACCGGAGAATAACTGCTTGCAAACATTCACACTCACTCTTAATTCCAATCACTTATATTATTTCAGTTCACCTTCAATTTGATATTCCCACCACCATAAGACTTTCAATGGTCTAACAACTTGCTAGTGGGTACTACAATGCCTGCCAAAAGTACTTGGAACACCCAGCAATTTACGCTGCATTTGATATCTTTCATTCCTTTCATGAAGAAAAAATTACTACTTCCGCCCCCTCCCCTTAAAATAATGTTGATAATTTAGAGAAATATCATAAAAGAAATGCAAAAGAAAGTGCTTCCTAAAATCCTAACCCGTTTGATAGTAAACCAACATTGTTCTGTAGAAGAGAGAGGGATGATTGATTTTGACATTGGAAATTGATGTCAGTGTTCCAAGACTTTTGGCAGGCATTGTAGATTACACCCAATGGAATAAATATGTTTAATTTTTGAATGGTTTAAGAAGAGAAGCTAAAAAAACAAGGTAAGCTTACCGAATTTGAGAAGTATTCATTTGGGCTAAAATGAAACTCGATTGCAAATCCCTAGAAAAAAAGTTCAAATTTTATGAGGGTCCTTTTTAAACAGGTAATTCACTTTCTACACACATATTTGCAGGTAAGAGTTGGTAAGAATTTGGTGATGGAAATCAGCCTTTGCAAATCAGCCTTTCAACAATTCTTCTCAATCCAAAAAAAAGCAGTTCATTGGAAGAAATACATCTATCAATTCGAGGATTAATCTATGAAACGTGGCTTGTTATCCTCTGGATACTGATAAAACTCGTCAAGAGGCAATTCTTTGAGTAGAAATTTCTTTAAAAAGCCATTAACTTCAAGATTAGCCAAGCCGGGAACAACAGGACACTCTTGCAATAGCAGAAAACAGATAGCAAATTACTGGGAGAATTACTCAAACTATTAGTCACATTGTTTTTCCATTATTTTAATCTTATCTGCAAACATTGCTGTCAAGTGTGTAGTTCTCAAAATAATTTCATGGATTGCAGCAGACTTGCAGCACAAATAAATTCTCTAAAAAATCATTTCATACCAGTTCATCATCAGCCTCTTCTTCTCCAGCATCTTCTTTTCCACTAAAGATTAGTTTTATGTCTGTCAGATGACCAAGGATGGGTTCATCGTGTGGCTAAGTGATAAAAACTTATACCTGTTAGATAAAACACTTAAAAAGAAAAATCATTGAGAAAGCAGGATTTTCTTGAAAGTTTTAGAAATTAAAACATCTTTTCTCAATTATTCCTGTCTTGAAGGTTGACCATTCAAGATCTAATAAATAAAGGAAAGAAGGGACCTAAAGTTTAATCAAATGGTCATATTGATTGTTGGGTTACATCGTCCAGGCTTTTGACCATTTGCAAAAGTCTAGATAGCGGCAACCCAGCTTTCCTCTTTGCAACTTTAAAAATTTCAGTGATTCTACCCATCGTTTGAGTAACACTGGGCCTTGTTGCAAAATCATTAAAACCTTTATTACACAAATTTATGGTATTAAAAACCCATAAGTATGAGTTAATTGTGAGGCTAAGTAAATAGATTTGATATCAGTGAGATAACACAAGTTATTTGACCTGATAAAAAAACAAGATTTTCTCTCAAGTTTGATACTTTTTGTTCAAAACTTTAATTTTGTTTCAGGCAGGAACTGAATGTTGGAGTTGAAGCTAAACTATGGAGTTAGAATGGAGTTAGACTTAAATAGAAATCAAGATTTATTTTACAGTGATAATGTGGTAAACATTTATGATTATTATGAATGATGATTGATAACAAGGATCAATGCTCTGCGTTCTGTAATAAGGATCAAATTTCAATAAAGCAAAGTCATATTTATACCTGTATCATTTCACTGAGAAGTTCTACATTCTTCATCGCTGTTAGCCAGAATTCATTTATACCTTTAACATCTAGAAAAGGAAAACTTTGCAAATTAACTTTGAATTTACAGCTTACTCCATAACTTTAAACAAATGTATAAACTTTTTGCCAATATTTTGTATGATTCACCACAAATCCTATGTATTAAGGATGATTCAGTAGTAAATGTGTATAGAGGATGTAGTATAAATTTATAAATATCTTTATAAATATTTAACTTCAGCCTGTCTTCTATACACTATATATAAATTTATATTAATAAATTTATTTTTAATTGACAACAATGAACTGTAAATGATGAATATCAATCAACAATACCATCCCTGACATTATAAACAAAATCATATATATATATATAGCAAAACATTTTTTCCCAAATTTGGTTTTTGATAAATATCTTAAAAACAAAATAACCTTCTTCTTTTTTGTCCTCATCCAAATCAACTTTTTCTTTTAGTTCCTCCTGCAAATAAACACAAAAATTCTTAAAAAGAAAAAAAAAAGTTTTGCCTTGCCTATGTGGCAAAATATAGGATTGCACTTGCAAACTTTGTAAAAATTGTATTATCATTAAGTGTTTTAATTCATATGCTTGATTTATGATTCAATTACTTGTATTGAATAATCAGTCTTTAAAGACATAAGAAGTCATGCAATATCTTCTGGTGACTTCAGGATTCAAATTAAGCTGGTCAGGTATGCATAGCCTCGCCTTGCCTGACTCCCTCTAAGATAGGTACAAACTGAAGATGAAAGAGCTTTCAGTGTAATCAATACACACAGATAATTCAGCATGTATCTAAAATGACAAAAAAGAGACCTGAAAAGCCATGACTCACAGCGAGTTTTTCAGCCTCACTTTTGTTCTCTTTTACCTTGGTATTGTCATCATCTTTTTTCTCTTCTTCAGCCTTTTCTTCATCTTCATCCTCCCCGCTGGGATCAACCCAAATAGCTTCTTCATCTGTTGGCTCATATTCACCTGCTACAATTGATTTTCTCTGAAAGGCAATAAAAATATATATAATCAAAGATCAACCAACATAAAAGTTCACTCTCAAATTAGTTGAACTTTCCTTCTAATGAAGGCTGTTAATGATAATTTCAAGTAAACAGTATTTCCAAAGGAATATTTCCTGTTTTAAAGGTTGATCATTAAAAAGGCTTTTAATTAATATATCGAAAACAGAAATGACGCAAAGTTTAAGCAAATGATCTTATAATTTGTTGGGTTACATCGTCCAGGCTTCTGACTATTTGCAAAAGTCTAGATAGCGGCAACCTAGCTTTCCTCTTTGCAACTTTAAAAATATCAGTGATTCTACCCATCATTTGAGTATCACTGGGCCTTGTTGCAATAACGAAAAAATCTTTATTACACAACTTGATGGTATTTGATTAAAAGCCTAAAAAATACTGAAAGAGAGGTGATTGATTGAGTGCAAGCATCTACATGCTTACCACGAAAACGATGCTGTATAAACAGCTCAGATGCCTAGCTGATCAAAACATGGTTTTATTTTAATGGTCTTTAGTTAAGATTTGTGAATTTATTTGATGTAAGATTTTTGCCCATATTCTTTTGGTACTGATTAGAACACAAGCTTGTAAGTTGTTTCTGTGCCACCACAAAAACCAATTAAATACTTCTCTTAAATACTACTATAGCCATATCTTATAGCAGACCAGTAAATTCACTTGTAGAAATGGCTCAGTGGTTAGGGTCACCAATTACAGATGAGTTACAAGGACTTGGGGTTGGAGTCCCTGTTACAGCACAACTTTCACTAAGAATGAACAGAGTTGCCACCTCTCTGTAGTTTCAGGCAACAAGAATATAGAGGTTTTGTCACATCGAAAAGAAGGACATAGACACAGCTAAATAAGCACAGCCCATTAGTATTTCAAAAAAGTACTTTCGTGAGCAAGAAAGTAACAAATACAGAAATTAAATACAAATATAATCAATTTAAAAAATATAATGTCTGCTTTCTAGAAAGCTTACTGCAAAAGCTGTATATATTACCATAAAAGTCTAAAAAACCAACTATGAAGTGTCAAGCTTCAAAAGAAAAATTAAAGAACCGAGGGGGACAAAGTTGGGCTATTGTTCATACATTCCTTAGAACTTACATCTGATCTTAGTTTCTAGCTATAGCTAGGCATCGGGTACATATAATGCATTTGCTCAACAACAAGAAAATAAGACATACATATTCCACATACTTTATCATACAGTGGCTTAAAGACTTCGGCATATTTCATTTCCAAAGCATGAACTTCCTTGTAGAATTTCCCTTCAATGTGAGCATATTCCACCTGAAGAAAATATAAGAAATTAAGTTTTATCGACAGACCTTTAATAAACTTCTTGATGAAGACAGTGTTAAAAAATGTCTAAACATGATGTTGGAAGTGATGTGCATTTTATTTTTGAGAGCCATTGCATTTTGACCAACAAATGATGAGTGGCAATTACAGGTACAAAATGTCTAAGGGTCATTCCATGTCAAATCATCCAGAGGTTGTGACCATCATGTCTCAGATTTTGATTATATTTTGCACAATCAAAGCTTCTAATGAGATTACAAAAACTGCAAAATTTCAGCTTTATATCTTGAATAGTTTGAAAGTTATCGCAATCTGAAATTTATGCTGAATCAGCAAATATGCAGAAAATTGGGCGTGGTTCGCACTGACCCCTATCTCCTTTAACAGTTACAATTAAAAAACTATTGCAGATATCAGGCTAAAAATTGGCAGGAAACCAAAAAACTAGCTTAAAATTTCAAAAATGCAACTTAAAAATATCTGTGATGCTTATTTACTTGACAAATCGGGCTTTTTCCTAAAATGATGAAAAAATTGAGTTGTCCGCAAATTCCTTGAAATTTAAGGGTGTGGCCAAATAGATACAAGCCCACCTTTAAGATTCATTGAAACATAATAGTTTTCTCTTAATTTAGCACAATTTTCATCAATTGTATGTGAAGGCACAAGGAGTACCAGACATTTGAAAATTACAGTCCATTTTCACAGAATAATAGCTCTGAAACATTAGGTGTAGCCTCATATCTCTCTAAATTTCATTGTAATGTTTCCTGAAAATTTCAATTTATCAAAAAAACTATTATTTGGCAGTTTCAGATTTATATATATATTTATCTCAATTTCAATTCATTTACAGCCAGGCTGTATGCAAAGCATCAATATAAATACAAAATGTCCTGTTGGTTTGTTCAAATCCATATCATTTAAATTGTGAAGTATTTTCTTGGTGCTGCTTTGTTTACAATATTTCCAGCAAATGTAGGGAACTGTGGCTGGGGTAGCAGAGTGCTCTAGCCTTAAGCTATTACCCCCTTTTCCCCAAAACACCAAATTTGTAAGAAAATTTCAAATATTTCTGCTCTGTCAGAAATTTTAGTCAATTTTTACAGTTAGCATTTAGCTTCAGGTTTCTCTTCAAAATTCTAATTAAGTATCAAGGCAATAAATTCTTCTGTGCTCACAGTTATGTTTAAAGCAAGCTGGGTATTAAATTGATTCCTAGACTAGATTGTTAAGTAATAGGAAATCATGCTTAGGTGTAAATTGATTTAATGATAGTTAACACATCATTTAAATGCTTCCTCCCCACCTAAAGAGATATTTTTATTGCCTTCATTTTTGCAATGAGTAATGCATTGAGTGGGTGTGTTAATCTGATGATGAAAGATTCATGTTGAGCAATAATAAAAGAGGAGGCTCTAGCATTTTGGTTAGTTTTCTCATAGAAGCAAGATGGAAATGCAGCCTTGTAGTTTTGGGACTTTATTAGATGATTTGTGCCACAAAAAATCTTTCACAAGAAGAGTGCATTTAACTCTTTTATCTGACTTACCAAGAGAACATCAAGAGGTACTTCTATGGAGAAGCAGGTTGAACCAACTAGATGATGGTGGAAATATTTGCAAACACCACGAAATGATGTTTGGACAAGTATTTGAAAGAAAGTCCATAAACTGTTGTGATCCATTTAAGCGACACAAAAAGAAAAACAAAGGTAGCCTCAAAATATCCCTCCAGTTTGCAAAAGATTTAAAAGAAAGGGGGTTCAATGTTTTGCCTGGGTGGAAGCTTTGCAGGAACTGCTACCAGCAAATACTTAAATATGATGATAAAAGCCAGTCTGAAACCTCACATATGATTGATGAAGAAGAAAAGGAAGAGGATGTAGAAATCAATGATGCTGAAATTTCTAGAGATATTGTAAATACCAGTCTGGAACTATGTGGTGTTTCACAGATAAAGTTTCATGGCATCGAGAAACGAAGGAGAGTATCGTTTGCAAAGGAAAAGCTTAACAGAGTGTTCAGGGCACAAGAAACTGAAACAGCAAATGCTATTGGTGTTGATGTTCAAGATTTAGAGCAAACCTGTAGCACACAACAGTCAAATACATTACTTGAAGGTAAAGCTGAAAATTTTGACAAGCTCATGTACCTTTTGAAAGAAAAGTTAAATGTTTCATCCTACAGAGAGAAACTTAAAATTCTTACTCTGGTGCCCGAATCTTGGTCAAGAAAAGATGCTGCAAGATTCTTTGGTGTTTCAGAGTATCTTATCCGAACTGCCCGTTCATTGAAAGAAACAAAGGGTATATTAGCTGATCCTGAGCCTAAGAATGGAAAATCCATTGAAGTCTATGTAGAGGAAGCAGTAGGTCTATTTTATGAAGATGATGAATATACAAGGTTATTACCAGGAAAGAAGGATTTTGTCAGTGTAGGAAGAAACAAGCATGTGCAAAAGCGATTATTGCTTTGTAACCTCAAGGAACTTTATATTGCCTTTAAACAAAGAAATTCACATATGAAAATAGGTTTTTCCAAGTTTTGTAGTCTGCGTCCAAAATGGTGTGTACCTGTTGGAACTCCTGGTTCTCATGCTGTTTGTGTCTGCACATATCATCAAAATGCAATCTTGTTAGCTAGTGCTTTAGGCGTTAGTCATACATACAAGGATTTGATGAAGATGATTGTATGTGATATTGAAAACAGTGAATGCATGATACATCGCTGCCCAGAGTGCCCTGGAACAAAGCCACTTCAGGAATTCATAACTGCAGAATTGGCGAGACAAGAAATTGATGAAATAGAGTACAGTCAGTGGCAAAGCACTGATCGACCAACTCTGATAACAGTAAAAGCTAGCACTGACAGTTTTCTAGACACTCTTGTTGACAAAATAAATTATTTGACAATCCATTCATTTGTTGCCAAATGCCAGAGTAGGTTTTACAAGAGTTGCAAAGAAAATCTTTCACCAACAAGCTGTATCGTTGTTCTTGATTTTGCAGAAAATTACAAATTTGTTGTTCAAGATGAGGTGAAGAGCTTTCATTGGAACAATCAACAGTGTACCTTGCACCCTGTTATCATCTATCATAAAGATAGTTTTGACCAGCTTAAGGAGATGTCTCTTTGGGTTTTGTCAGATGACATAAATCACGATACCCCATTCGTCCACAAAGTTCAGCAGATAACTACAGAGTACGTCAAGTTAAAGCTTCCACATATCAAAGAAATGCATTACTTTTCAGATGGATGTGGTGGACAATACAAAAACTTTAAGAATTTTGTCAATCTCTGTAAACATGAAGATGATTTTGGTCTGTCTGCAATATGGTCTTTTTTTGCAACTTCACACGGGAAATCCTCATGTGATGGGCTTGGAGGTGCAATCAAAAGATTAACAGCTAGGGCTAGCCTACAACGGCCTTTAAGCGGCCAGATACTTAATGTTACATCGATGGTAGAATTCTGTAAAGAAGCTATGCCAAAGATTGAATTTGCCATTACAACAAAGGAGGAAATGGTGGCTGTAAGAAATTTGCAAAGACAGCGTTATATGCTAGGCCAAACTGTACCAGGTACTAGAAGTTACCACCATTTTAAACCTTTGCAAGATGGCTTTGGTGTGCACTTTAAACGCCTAAGTC